TGGTCTCAAATGCTGCCTGTTGACAATCAGGACTTAGTGGGGGGTCCTTAGCAGGTTTCTCCTGTTTGTACACCCCAGGAGTAGTCTGGCTTCCCCTGGAGAACTGTGGGGGTGGAGGGGGGTGTGTGTGTGCTTTGGTGCGCCCAAATCGCCGGCTTTTGGGTTCCATCGACGCCGTGAGAGACGACACTTTACATGCACACTCCACACAGGTGTCAGTTTCCACCGCGGTAATATCATCGCGCCACGTATGCGAGACGATGATGCCAGAGAGTGCCCGTCCCCAGGCATCCCTGAGCTGTCCTCGCTGTGGTGTATTTACCGGGAGATGCAAACCTCTCTGATGCCATCGGCATGTTGGAAACCTTGCGTATTAATGGTGGGTCAGGTCACCCCATGGCTGCTGAACGCCTGTCCTCACCTTCCCATCCCTGCCTAATCCTCCTCGGGTACCAGTTAAGGAGTCTGTCGGGTTATTACCCTCGGTAACTCAGTCTGATGTCAGATAGACAAAGGCTTCTCCTACAGGCAGAATGAAAACCTGCAATGCTGGGAGGATTCTGAACACACCGATGTCATCAGTCTGGTGTTCAGTCACTGAACAGCATCTAGTGTAACCTTGGGTTGGTTGAGAGGCTTGCTTCTTTTATTGTAGTTTGTTTTTAGAGATGCACCGATTGCAATTTTCTTGGCCGATTTCTGATTCACAAGTGTGACCAGCCGATCCCAATTTTTTTTTCTTTTTTTCTATCTATCGATAGCATATACAATCAACTTTTCTTCAATGCAAAATTTTATTTTCATCATAAAAAAAATTGTTGAACTTTACAATTCCCCCCCAAACTGCACTAAGTTACGGGATCTTCTCTCACTTAAACCCCAAAATAAAGTGCTCTGTGACTGGAAAGAGGTACAAATAACAATTAACTGAAAATGAGTTGCTGTACACCCAACATTATCTGACATATTTTACTTTACCAAACAAAAGCAGGTGCAACAGACTTAAATCAGACAAATGTCAGTTGCTTATGTCATTTTCCAGCATGCTTAAAAATTCACCAGAAAACATGACACCGACCTTTTTTCGCTTTTTTTTTAACATGTCTTAAGTTCCATAGGTTACAAACTGCCAAATAAAACTGAAGTGTACTATACTCTTCCAAACAATAATAGGTGTAGAGTAATATTATTAATACCAACATTGTATGTTATGCACATACAAGTCTTATATCTCTGGTCAGCTAGATTAAGATTAGGCTGCTTCACCACGTTTCACCACGATCAGGCGTTTTCGTGGTGGTTCCTTCACAGTTTACATGTATTACAAATTGCAAGCTTTGTGTCGTTTTCACTCACTTTTAAGAACCTCCACGTTAATGAATTAATTGTCATTGTTGACACACCACAGCACACAACAACAAAATGTGTTCTCTGCATTTAACCCATATGTGACATAGTAGGGGGCGGTACCTTGCTGGCTGGGGATTCGAACCTGCAATCTTTCAATTACGAGTGCACTTCCCTAACCATTAAGCCAACAAAGCCCACTAATGAGTGGCTGAGAGTGTGCACGCGGCTACATATGATGCATGGCGCATGTGTAAAATGGACCAGTTCAGTATCGGAAATATGAGACTGACTGACCAGCCGGTCTCTGGTCTGGGCCGAGCGATCGGTGCATCTCTATTTGTTTTTTAAAGAAGGTAGTACCGCGTGGGCTGCTGTCGTGCTGTGAGAAGCAAATCCTCTTTCTCCTCGTTAACGTTGGAGGTTCTCCAAGGTCAGTGATCTGTAGAGAGGCATCAGTTCCTCCATCAGATGGCCATGCTTCCTGTGTGCGTGTTTATGATGTCTGTCTTGACATGACCTTCTCCATACAGTGTTAATGAGAAGCTCCATCAGAAAGTGGCTGTAAGGAGCTTTGTGGAAGCCTTTTCGTGACGCATGCATCTTGGTAACCTCTTCCCCAGACTGCCTGAATAGATGCACATGAAACAAATTATTCCCAGAACCTGAACTCTCGCCAGCTGATCACCAACCTTCGAGCATTTAAATGGGGACACTATTGTCAGCCCCCCTCCCCGGCCATTGTTTGCCATATAACCAGTGTGTTCTGTCTCCTCCCGCTTAATTAGAAATATTTGGCAGCCAATGGAATGAATTGAGAGAACGTTTAGACTTGGGGCACGCTCACACTTGGCTCAGTTGCCTTGTACCGTGCCCGAGCACGATTCCACCCCGCACTCCCATGCTGGTTTGCGCTCACGTTGCGTTTAACGATCCGAGCCCAAGCACGCTTTCATTGTGTGACTTTTTGTATTAAGGGAAATGTAGGAAGGAATGCACAGCAGAACGGCATTCATGATTAATTTCGTGGTTTATTTGGAGTCGTTTTGTGCACGATGATGCACATAGATTTATGTCACATGCAACGCAGCGATTATATATTTGTGCTGCATGTATAAGACGACAGTCCCGTATTTTACCAAATATTTCATCCAGTTGCGTGTTTCATCCAGTTGTTCCTGGATACACTCGTCAGCCCAAATTTCCAGCAAATACTGCACCTCTGGCGTAGACCAAAGGGATCCTTTGCCACCATATTTATTAAAGGTTTGTCGCTGCCTTCCTTCTGGGTCCGGTTCATGTATAGTGTACATGTACACGTGTGTGTCAGTCGCACCATTGACGTCATGTCTGTGTTCCGTGCCCGGGCACTGTTAACGATCACATTAGACACTCGTGCACGAGTTCAACTAACTGTGCTCTGGTCCTCTTCTTCAAGTGGGTCCGGACCTGTAACGGAGCAATCACACTAATCAAACTAGACTTTGGGGGTCAAGCATGCTTGGCTGTGGTATGGATGGCCTAAGTGTGAGTACATGCTTAACAAATGCAAGTTGGGTCCATTTGTTAATGATTATTTAGGACTGGGTTTTCTTAGCAATGGGGTGTCTACCAAATTTCTGTCTTCAGGTTTTTAGCAGTGCTATGACACGCTGAGTGGCATTCTCTATGCTGTCTGTATATGTCAGGGTCATTTATAATGCATGTGTTTAATATATGTATTGTTGGTTTTAATTGCTTGGCCAATCAGAATCGCTGACACTTGCAGGCTGCCTTAACACTCATTCTGACCTAATAAGTGATTAATTTGTGGATCCACCTCTCTTCTTCTCAGATCTCTGCTCGGTGGAGATTCCAGTCACTCCAGTCCCATTTTTAAATGGCCTCCTTGCACGAGGCAGGCAGATGAGCATGGCAGTGCTGTAGCCGCACGCTCTGTGTGCAGCGAGTGCGTCCAGGCAGAGTGGGCGCGGCCCGGGTGCTGCGTGTCGTATATCTCATGTGTGCAAGCAGGTGGGGCAGGGGGGACGTGGGGGGGGGGGGGGCTTTGTCTAGTGATCCGGCTGGCGGGAGGACTGCCTATATCTCACATCGCCTAGCAACCGTAATGCACAGGCTTGCAGGAACATCTGCCCCATGCAGACATGCCAGGTTTGCACTGTGTAGTAAACAGTGCTGTCTCTATTGTTCCTTGTTTAAACTGCTGTCTTAATTAATTAATTTATTTTTGCAATAATTTTACATTCAGATCTTGAGACCGTTTGTGTCCTGTCCTCAGGGGGCTCTGTTCCGTGTGCCTTGCAGCTGTTTAGCATTGCAGCCACGTCTGTAACATGTGTTCAGATGTCTGCACGCAAATCCTCTGATTACACCCCCCCCATGTAAGGCTGACCTATAAGTGACTTTTTTCTTTTTTTATCAGAAAAACTGTTTCGTCAGTTATAAAGGAAGTATGCAGTCTAGATATACATTTCAGGGATGCAACCTGTGTCCTAAACAGGCTAAAATGCGCCAGAAACCACAGTAACATGCTTCTGACATTAGGGTAAAATCGCCATGACTGATTCCAGTGAAAATACTTTAAACGGTTCATAAATCGATTTATGAATTTGCATAAGTGGTTGTGCTTGTGAAGGATTGTTTGGGGTGGATTAAAAGAAAAGACAAGTGAGATGCCAATGGAACAGAGCCAGAATAATTTAGTATTATTGACATACTTGAGCGTGTAAAATGAGAGATCCTGTGCGTGGACCTTCGTAGTTCATGTTGCCAGGAAATCTTGCTCCTTTGTGGCATCCGCCACGAGTGAGAGTCTGAACGGGGGCTGTAACTGGAAGCCTGTAAACATCTCCTGTGATGGATCCTCTTTCCGCTAATGATAAACGGTCCAGTGGCGGCGCCAAAGGCCGCGAGACTGCAGGTAATTAGGGAACGGTCGTAAACCGCGGAGCCGTCGTGAGGAAGACGCCGGGAGCTTCCGGAAGAGCCGCAGCATCGATCCGCAGAGACGGATGTTGAGTCTAACTGCCCCCAAGGTCGCCCTGATAGAGGGGGTGTGGTGGACTGTAGTGCCCAGTCCCATGGATCTGATTAGCGCCCTCGGCAACGGAATGTGCCAGAAAAGGTGGACAGGGTGCTGAGCAGAGATGGCAACACGGAAATATTCCGGAAGGTTCTTCGGTGATCTAGAGAGGAATATCCCATTGTTCAGTCTCTCCTGTCTGCCCTCCGGGGCCCTCGGCCGGCCCGGAGCCACGCTTAATGGCACGTTCTATAGAGACGCCCGTCCGTGAGCGATTTGCATGGGGGGGGCTCTGCTATGCTGTGAGGGGACTGGGGGACTGAGGAACTCCCTCCCCTAGGCTGGATGAAGCCATGCTTCATAAAAGTGCCACGATGGGAAAGGGGGGGGGGGGGACTTTTGGCTTTTTCAGACAAATGAGACATCGTGGCCGAGAGTTTTATGGTCCCAACTTTTAATAGCAGAAAGCCTTATCACTGTAGAAACATGCCAAAGCATTTCCAGCATGTGACCCGCATATCGGTTGCTATTTGCTGGTTCTTCCTCGGCTCGTTGAGGCCTGACCGGTTTCCCGATCCCACCCCCTCGCCTCCTGTGCCAGTTTTAACCTCGCCCGCCCGTTCATTCCCAGGGCAAAGCCATGGTGACACAGAGACCAGGGTGTGTGTCTTCTACAACGGCAGCTGGGAGGTGGAGAAGACCAACCAGAGCGGCGTGGAGCGCTGCGAGGGTGAGCGGGACAAGCGCTCCCACTGCTACGCCTCCTGGCGCAACACCTCGGGCACCATCGAGCTGGTGAGGAAGGGCTGCTGGCTCGACGACTTCAACTGCTACGACAGGTCAGTGCCCCCCTCTTCTGCCAGTCCTGCATTTGTTTGATCTCCATTAGTGTCCCCCTCTCTTTTTCTCCCCCTCTTCTCTCTGTACTTTCCTCGTTCTTTCACTCTCTCTTTACCGCTCACCCTGTCTTCCCCTCATTTCTCTCCTCTTCCTCCTTCTCCCTCTCTTTCTTTACTGCTCTTTCTCTCTCTCTCCTGCTGAGCACCTCCCCACCTTTCTGTAGAGGTGGCCGCTTCTTATCCTCTCATCCCCTTTTTCTCTCTCCCTTGCTCTTTCTCCCTTCTCTACCTCCCTCACATCCCCTCCACGCCATCCCATACTGGTGGCTGCCTTGTCCCCTCTTCCCCTCTTTCTCTCTCTTCCCCCCACCATCAGCTGAGTGCCTCCACCCCCAATGCCTTCCCATGCTGGTGGCTGCCTTGTCCCCTCTTCCCCTCTTTCTCTCTCTTCCCCCCACCATCAGCTGAGTGCCTCCACCCCCAATGCCTTCCCATGCTGGTGGCTGCCTTATCCTCTCATCCTCCGTCAGTCTCTCTCCCCCTT